AGTGTGCGAGAGTGTAGTCGTCATGTAATCGTTGCATCATTATTGTGGCATTGAAGCAACAATGATTGGACGACCAATGTGCAGAAAACCTAAATTAACATACTAGCGGCAGATAAATCAAAAATTTATATCAATAATTGCATTTAAAACTACTTGCCCACATTTGATTAAAAAGGAAAATTATTTCATATAATTTTGATTACGTGGAATAGCTGACTAACGACGCAGGCGAAAAGTTGAGAATTGGCCATCTTTCTGTTTTGCTTTTGCGTTGGTGTTACCCAACTTTGGTTATGTGGAGACTTTCATATAAATGCAACGCCAACGCGAACGCAACGGCAAAGTTGTATATAAACGGGCCTAAATTTCTATGTAGATGGGCCTTCACAATTTGCAAAATAGTAAACTTTGCCGCACAAGCGCTGAGTTAAGGCCCCGCCAGATAAAAATTCTCTTCTATGTCACGGAAATGCTTTTGACCGACATTCAAGTTAACACTGTGATTTTGAATAGAAGATGCCACATTGACAACGCTGCATTGCCACAACTGATAAAATTCGCCCAACTGTCAACTTTTGACGCACGCATATGCCGTAAAGAAACAACAGCAACAAAAATGTGTGGAATGAACCAGGTGATTTTTGACCAAATTGAGCCGTTATGTTTACAGCTACGTTTTCATTGTGCCGACTCGCCATGTTCTGTGCGTTTTGTCAGTCAAAGGCATCCCTGTTACGCAGAAAAGATTTTCTATCTGTCGGGGCCTTTAGATAGTCTTCACACGGGTCGTATGGTTTTAGACGCGTATTAGATGCTATATACGAAAGTTGTACGCTTTGATAACACACACGTGCATCGTCAAAGCGAGCTAGCTGCAAATCGCATGGCGTACAGCAGTGTTGGTAGCTAAGGCGTAGGTACGCTTAGAAAAGAGGGAGAAAAAGAAGTTTGGTTACAATTTTCCGTGTGCGTGCATTCATTTCATTAAAAAAGAGATAAAACAATAAAATTCGTGAAATAATT